CAGCGGGGTGTCGGTAAGGCCGCCTGACTTGGCAGGTGCATCAGTGAGGCCGCTCGGCTTAGAGCCGGATGGACGGCTGACGCGGCCGGACGAGGCCGCGGCCGAGACGCGGGCGTGGTCTGCCGGCGGCGGCGGCGGCTGGTCAAAGATACGGCCACGGTAGTGGTCGCGAAGGTTGGGCTGGCGGACCGAGGGCTCAGGAATGATCTCCTTGACGGTGGGGAGGACGGGTGCGTTGTTGGCGGCAGGGCCCATGGGCTGCGGCGCTTCGGACACAAAGTTGACGTCGGTAGCAATGTTGGCGAGGCCTGTGACGACGTCGGGCAGGCGCGACGGCGGCAGCTCGCCGACTTTTGGGTGGTAGATGAACGTGGTCTCGCCGTACTGCGTCCGCTGCGGGCCGTTGGCGATGGACTCGGGCGCGGCGCCGATGAGGACCTCGGGCTTGACCGGGACCGACGCGTCGTCGCCGAGCAGGTTGTCGGTCGACACGTATGCCTTGTACGGGTTTTCGGTCGAGTTGTAGAGCAGGAGCGACGAGACTGAGGTGATGTTGTCCGGCAGGCGGCCGAGGCCCTCGAGCTCGATCTGTTCGCGCGACTTGGCCTCCGTCACGTGCTTCTGCACGAGGTCGACGTCGACGGCGTTTGCGAGGCGGGCATCGTAGTCGACTTCGCGCATGGGACCCATCATGTGCCTGCGGCGCTTGAGCAAGAGCGGGCGGAACGGATCGTGCAGCATGTGCGCCCGCTCGTAGTCCTTGCGCCCCGGATAGTGGGCTGGCGAGTGGATCCGGGTCGCCTCGGTCGAGTTGGCCAGGTGCTTGATCTTGTTGCGCGCGACAGCCACCCGCTTGGCCATCCGTCCTACCCGCCGCTTCTGCCGCTTGACGTCCGAGCCGACCTTGGCAAAGACCGAGTCGACCACATGCTCCAAATACTGCAGCGCGTCAAAGATCTGGTGCAGGTTCTCCGGCTCGCGGAGGTCCGGCGGGGTGACTGTGCGAGGAGGGGGGGGGGGGGGGGAGAGTGGCCATGGGTGGTCCCAAGGGGTTGCTCAGTGGAGGAGGGGGTGGAGGGAGGCGAGGCGGGGAACAGCGACCTTTTTCTGGGGCTGAGGGAGGGGGGGGAGGGGGGGGGGGCCTACCACCCACCCACGACAAGGAGCAGCAGCAGACGCAGACTGGTCTTGGCGCGTGGAGGGGGTAGTGTGTGTGTGGGAGGGGGACAGGCGGGCAAAAAAATGGCCATGGGTCCCTCGGGCGACGTGGTGGTCTTCCATGACCCATCCCACTGCGAGGGGCTGGTGGGCCGGGGGGGCGTGGCGGGAGGGAGGGAGGAAGAGGTGGGCTGGTGGGAGGGAGGGCCAAGGCAGGGGAGAGAGGCAGGGGAGGGGTGGGAGGGGAGGGCTGGTGGGTGGGGGGGTGAGGGGGGTCTGTAGCTGGGCGTACCTCCATCTCTGTCTGCTGCACTTGCGTGCCCTCAGTGGCCTGGTCGTCCGCGGGTTGCAGTGTGGCACTGCCGCAGCGGCCCCGAGGTTGAGTGAGAGTGGCTCTGCCCGTTCTGGCGATATGGGCATTGCGAACCCGGTGAGTGGCGGTGGAGACCAATGAACCGAACAAACGAGCAAACGAACAATTGACGGAACAAAAGGACGTAGCAGAAACGTATCATGATGTGTGGCGTGGGGCACAAAGCCACTTACCGACAGAGGCACAATGAGCACAGACGGATGGTCGGTCGTCTACCATGCGCTGAACGATCTCTCCTTTTTACGTGCCAAACAGGCCGCCGGTGCTCTTGGGCGCCAACTCGATGCTGCTGTTGCCGCTGCGCGGCGCCAGACTTGACTGGGGAGCAGCGGCGGTGATGACGTTGGCGGGCACGCACGAGCCGCCGTTGCCGCCGTACGTGACGGGGACGGCCTTGGCGCCGAGCGCGTAGTAGGTGGCGAGGCGGGCGAGGTTCTCGGACACGAGCCACTGCACGAGGAGCGACGAGGCAAACATCGAGGCGATCGACGCCGGCTCGAACGGGAAGAGCGAGGTGGCGAGCGGGAGGAAGAGGATAACGCCGTTGAAGCCGAGAAGAACACCGTTGATGACGACGGCGAGTGCAATGGCCGAGCTGCCTTCCCTGCCGCTGTTTCCGGCTTCAGCGCCGCGCGCCTGTAGCGCGCGCTTGAGCGGCGGGCCGAGGGCAATGAAGGAGACAACAGCCGAGACGGCAACCGTGAGGACCATGTCGAGCGCCCGGTCGAGCGAGAGCACCGCATCGTCGTCCTTGTACGATGACGAGTTGATGAGCGGCATGATGGCCGTGACAAGGAAGAGGACGTTGACCGAAAAGACAAGGAGCGCTAGCCGCCCGCCGCGGGAAACGCGTCGTTCTCGCTTCGCAGCACAATGCCGAGCAGCGAGTGCTGGCGCAGCGCGTACGACGCCGGCGGGAGACCAAGCCACCGCTCGGGATCAGCCGCATACTTGCGGGCCATCGACTCGCGCCTGTAGCACCCGATTAGAATGAGCCAAATCGCTGCTCCAGCAATGACATACAGCGCCACCACCGGCGGCATGGTCGCCACGCTCCCACCAAGCACGTCGCTGGCGACTTCCTCTTTCTGGGTCACCGGCTGCGGGGTGACCGGCAGAGCCGGCGGCGGCGGCATCGTCGTGTTGCCTCCGTTTGGCGGCGGCGTTGGCGGCAGAGCCGTTGGCGGCGGCGGCGTTGGTGGCATCGCGGTGCACGACCCGTTGTGGAGAAGGTACCCGGGCGAGCATGCCATGCAGGCTACGGCCGAGGTGCACTGTGCACAACCCTCGGAGCACGTCCCGCACACTGTCGATGCTGAAACAAAGTATCGTCCGGCTGGACACGTCCAGCACGCGCCGAGCGTATCGACCAGGGCGTAGCCGCTATGGCACATCAAGCACGCGTCGGTGCCCGACGAGCATCCGGCCGAGAGATCCATCAACGCGCAGTGGAGCCGCTCGTTGCAGCTCGGGCCAGACCATCCCGGGCGGCACGCCGTGCACGCGGCGTTGGCGGTGAGCGTCGGGAAGACGGCACAGCCCGAGAGCCCGTGGTAGCACGGCGCCCCAGCGCCGCACCCATTGGCCAGGCCGGGCATCGTCGCGCCCACTGCGCACCAAGTGTCTGGTTCGCAGTACGGCGCGCGGTTGTCGCACACGGCCGAGTTGGCAAATGGGACAACCGTGTCGTGGGCGTGAACCGCGCCCGACTCGACGCTCGGGTTGACAATGACATTCTCACTCACCAGCGTGTCACGGACAAGCGAGCCCGCCCGCAGGCCATCGATATACATCCCGGAGCCTTTGGTCGCCGAGTTGCGCACAATGGTCACGTCGGTGGCGAGGAGGAGCGCGTTGTCGGCAACAACCGACACACCGCCTCCATCGACTCCCGCAGAGTTGTCCTTCACCGTGCTCGTCCTCACTTCAAAGGTCGGCGATGGCGTCGCAGCAATCTCCCGCAGCGAGAGCCCGCCACCCGACGTGGCACATCCGTTGCTCAAAAACGCACAGTCGGCAATGGTGGCGTTGACGTCGACGTGCGCGCCGCCGCCCGACGAGCCGGCCGAGTTGAGCGCAAAGGTTACTGTGTCCAAGTCTAAGCTGCCTTGGCCGGTGTAGAGCCCACCACCAGCACCGGCTATCGCCGTGTTGCTTGTAAACGAGGTGTTGGTCACCGCCAGCGGCCGCGAGACCGCTATCCCGCCGCCGTTGGACGCTGCCACGTTGGAGGCGAGCTCGCACCTGACCAGAGCCGACACCGCGCCGGAGCCCGACGACGACGCTCCGATGCCGCCGCCGTTGCCTCCAGCAGAGTTGCGGCTCAGCACCGAGTCGACGACGCTGACGGCTGCCGCCACATACAGGCCGCCGCCCGAGCCGCCGGCAGTTGAGTCGACAATGGTGACAAACGCGAGGCTGGTGCCACCCAGCTCGGCGCGGATGCCGCCGCCGTTGGAGCCTGCGGAGCAGCCTGAAAACGTCGAGGTCACAATGTCTGCCGACGTTGCTGAGGGATAGATCTGGACACATCCACCGGCACTCGCCGCTGAGTTTGCGCTAAACGTCGCACCCGTGATCGAGACAGCACCCGAACCGGCAGCGATGGCGCCACCATTGCCGCCCGCGCTGTTGCGCTCGAACGTCGACGTGACCACAGTGAGCGAGCCCGATTGGACATCGATCGCGCCGCCGGCCCCGGTCACGGTGTTGTCGCTAAAGTAGCAGTCGGTGACGGTGGCAACTGAGGTCGAGACCAATCGCAGCGCACCGCCCGACGGCCCGGAGTTGCGCTCCATCGTAGTCTGTGACAGAGTCACAGTCGTCGACTCGGCCACAACCGCTGCGCCATTGCCCGAGTTGCCGCTGACCCAGGTGTCAGTGAGTATCAGGCTCGAGTCTGCAGCGTGAAGACCGGTCGCCGGCAAGGCACCGGTGTTGTTCACGATCTGGCAGCCGCTGCCCAGGGAGACGAGTGAGGAGACAGCATCGAGGCCAGCCGCATGCTGGCTTGCATCGTTGCGGACCATCCCAACATTGGACCCTGTCAGCGAGGCGCTCTCGACCTGGATTGCGGTCCCGTACTTGCCCGAGTTGTCCGCGAACCAAGCATTCGCCAGCGTTGCGGTGCAATGCTGAACCCGGAGCTGCGAGCGATCGCTTCTGCCGCCGGACACATCGCAGTTGGTGACTGAGAAGTCGACGACGGTGGCGGAGCACATCGCAATGTTGTGGCTTGTTCCAATGAGCACTCCGGCGCCGGTGCCGTCAGCCAGATACACGCCTGTCGCAGTCACGCTCACGTCAAACGGATTGGCTACTCCGGGGCTCCGTCCGATGACTAGCACATACGCCTGGTCATCAAGATTGTGTCCGTACGAGGCAAAGCTGGAGAGCACGACGCTCATGGTGGGTGCAAAGAGCGTAATGCTGTCGTCGTGGAGGAGGCAGACGAGGCATGCTTCACCACCGGTGGTGCTCATGGCCATGTTGTGCAGCTCGACGCGATCAAGGGCAACGTCGAATCCGACGCCCTTGGCCTTGAGCACAATGAGCTCGGAGCCTGGCTCGGTTCCAAAGTCTTCAAAGGTAAAGCCAGTCATAGAGAACGAGTCGCTGTCAGAACCCTCCATGGTCAGCAGCGGTCCTGTGGCCGACCTGCTTTCGCCAGCCGTGTTGCAGGTGACCACGATGGTCGCGCCGACAACCGAGGGTCGAAGGACGACCGAGGTGACCGAATCCGGCACCGCCAGTGTGGATGTCGTGCACGCATCGACGTAGGTACCTGTATCGAAGCAGATCTCCACGTCGCCGGACGCCGAAGTCAGATATGTGGCGACGCCCGCAAGCGCACTGGCGCTCAGCTCAACGGTCAGGTCGCAGGCCGAGACAGTCACAGCAGCCATGGCAGCTGCTACGAGGACCACGAGTACAGCCCGGCATCCGAAGCCACAACAGGGCATCGAGCAACGGGATGGGAGGGGGGGGGGGGGGGTAAGGGAAGTGGGCTGTCGCGGTTGTGTGTATTCTCAAGTGGGGGAGCGACGGATGGAAAGCTTGCGGTGGCTTTCGGCGGCAAAATACGGCGTTCTTAGTTTGGAAGGCCATGTGAAGGTGGGGTCGGGGTTGGGGCGGGTGGATGGGTGTACATGAGGGCATGTGCATGTGCATGCGCATGCGCACGCGCGCGTGTGTGTATGCATGTATGTAGGTATGTACGTGTAGGACATTGATCCTGATGATGATGGGCATGGTTGCAGGTGCCAAGGCTACTAGGTGGGCGTTGCGGTAGTGGCCGACGTACGACCACGGCCGCGATCATAGCCACGATCATGGCCACGATCAAGAGTACATGGTCTGCAACACATCTATCTAGCCCCTCCGCCTCCCCCCTCCCCCCTCATCCCTCAAATCATCGCCATTGCGGCCGCATTGCTGGCCCACCCCGGCCAGACTGGGGAAGTCCGACGAACGTTTGCTGCTCACCGAACATTGGAGTCGGCGGAGAGCACAAAACCCGAGCGATTTCAGGCATCCCCCATTGATACGCATTACAACCATCCGATTGTCACAGGACACCAGGTTCTTCCCCAACCACCTTTCTTTTTCCTTTCCTTGCCTCCTCCTCCCTCCCCCCTTCTCCGTCGCACATTCGAATCGAGTGCCCGACCCGACCACCTCACCCCAATCGATTGGTTTTCAATAGCCCATCGATTACCCCGCGCGTCAACCCAAACCAACGCGTCCATCCCCCGCCACACCGCACCACCGTCACCCACCCACCCACCGCCCCCCCCCCTCCCGCACCCATACACACACACACACACGCACACACTATGTTCCGCTCGTCTGCCCTCCGCATGGGTGCAGCGGCCGCACGGTCGATCACCATGATGAACAAGCCCACCAACTTTAAGGGCAAGTTTGCCAAGCGCAAGCCCGGTCTCTCCACCCGTAAGGGTCGGGCGCCCAAGCCGTCGCTGACCGCCAAGAAGGGCCCTGTCGGCTACTACAAGGGCTCGGGTGTTGGCGCCAAGGGCACCCGCTCTGCACGCGGTAAGCACACAGTCTGCCCCCCCCCCCCCCCTCCTCCCCGCTCCTGCACCCCCTCCCCACTCACCCTCCATGACCCTCCCCGTAGGTGTCTTTGTCCGCGACCCTGCCAAGATCCCGACCATCCTCCGTCCGGCCGCCTCGCTCGCTACCAAGTTCAAGCCGTACGTGGCGGTCGACGCGCCCAAGATGACTACCGCTCCGCCGACGGCGCACGACTTTATCGAAGAGGCTCTGCTGCAGCCGATCTGGGAGGACGCAGACATCAAGGCTCAGCTGGCCGAGCTCGAGGCTATGGGCGTCGACGTCGCCGCTGTAGGCCTCACGCCGGAGTCGTCCGACGGCAAGTTTGACGCCTGGATGAGATAGTCTCGCCGCCTGCAAAGGTTGGACGCCACAACAAACAGACACACACCCCTCATCTCTGTCCTGTTCACTCGGCAAAGACAAAGACCGAGCCGACACGATCGAGGACCCGCTTGAGCGCCTCGCGGACCTCGCGCCGCTCGGCAAGGGCCAGCGCGGTGAGGGACGGGTAGAGTGAAGAGGCGAGGCGCCTAAAGGCGGCCGGCTCGAGGGCGGCGGTGCCACGGAGGGCAGTGACCGCCAGTGGTGTCCACGAGAGCTCAACGTCGGCGCCGTGGACATCGCGGATCGAGGCGTAGGCGGTGACGATGGCGGTGACGAGCTCGAACAGTTGCGGGACGACCGAGCGCTCACCGGCGTCGAGCATGGCGAGCAGGATGTGGAGAGCGCCGTTCATGCCGCTCGTGGCCTGCTTGTGCAGGTTTGGAAGCTGGTCGAGGTAGCCGGCGTCGACGAGGCCCTGGCGTGCGGCCATGTCGGCGTTGAAGGTGCTCGCAAAGGTGTGCGACTGGGTGAGGCATGCCACGATGCGGAGTTCGGTCTCGACGCCCAGCTTGCCCACGAGCAGGGTGCCCATCGAGGCTGCGACGTTGATCATCAGCAGCTGGACAACGCACTTGTTGATGACGCGCGGCGGGTCAAAGAGCGGCGGCGGGTCAGTGGTGTCGGCAGCGGACGCCCGCCCGGCTTCCAGAAGCTCACGCGGGAGCGACGCATCGAACAGAGCCTCGACCCGGTCGACGACCAACGCCCACCGCGGCGGGTCAAAGGCGTCGACGTTGTCTTCGACAAGGCCCGAGAGGCAGGTCGCGCCGATGCGGGCAAGCGACTCGTTCGGCTGCAGGATGCAGTTGGCAAGGAGGACAAGAAGCTCGGGGAGGAGCGAGAAGAGGCCCGAGGCGTAGTGCGAGTAGAGCTCGACAAGTGACCGCAGAGCGTTGAGGCACGTCGTCTTGAGCCACTCGGTGTTGAGCGACGGCTCGTCGCAGTGGGTCACGTCGTCAAACATGGGGAAGAGGACGCCGCGGAAAATGAGCTCCCACACCTCGCTCGAGAACTGCACCCCGTACGCCTTGAGGACGTCAAACAGGACCTGCAGCGCCTTGGTCCGCACCGCCAGGTGCTGGGCCGAGACCAGCGACGAGAGGCCCATGAGCAGCGGCCACCAGTACTTCATGGCAAGCTCATCCGCAGACGCCCGTCGCGGCGACCGTCCGCCGCTCTCCTCTGACCCGCCGCCGTCGCTGCCGCATTCGGCGGCGGCGGCCACCACGCGCCCCTCGGCCAGCTCGCGTGACCAAAAGTGCACAAAGTCGATGGCCTTGAGCGCAACCTGCGGGTACAGCACTTGCCGGCCAAAGTCCATGAGGCAGTTGATCGAGTCGGTGAAAAAGGCGGCAACCTGCACAAAGTGGCCAGAAATGATGGTCTCCACAAGGTCGAACGCGCTCACCACCGTCGCCTCCTCCTCGTCGGACGCCGCCATGGAGAGGACGCCGAAAATGCCCTTCCAGCCCGACTTGATCATGGCGGTCCGGGTCAGCACAATCTGCCGCAGGCACGCCACGACCATCTCGCGGATGGCAGGCGACGACGACGACGCCATGATCTGCTCAAACGGGCGCAGAAACTCTTTCTGGATGTTGTAGTTGGCCAGCTCCTCCTTCTGCAGCGCTTGCATGTTGAGCTGCCGGATGGTGTCGATGGCAATGTGCGCCACAGACGGGTTCGCGTGGCACCCGACGTCTGAAAGAAAAGCGGCCAGGATGGCCCAGATCCGACCCCACACCAGCCGGATCCGGCCCATGTTAAAGTACGCCACGTCGACCGTCTTCTGCAGCAGGAACAGCCGCACGCCGTCCGGCGCCTCCAGCTCGTCCTTTGCCACAGCACACAGCTGACGCACAAACTCCACAATTGCAGAGTTGTCCAGCTCTACCGAGTCCGAGAACACCCGGTCCACCGCTGCCGTGTCCACCGCGCCTGCAATCGCGCTCGAGTTGAGCTCCTCAATCCGTCCACGGTCCGGCACCCGAAGCACGCTGCTCCCGGCTCCGCCGCCACGCGTTGCGCCTGCCCCCGTCGGCGCCGGCGGCTCGATCAGCCCGCGCGCAAGCTCCGACAGCCCGTTGCTCGACTTGTTTCGCCGGCCAAACAGCGACGAGAGCGACATCGATGACTCGTTGCTCGTGCCGTCGGCAGGGCTTGCGCCGGCAGCGTCGGCAGCGCCGACTGCACCATCCGAGCCTGAGCCCGAGCCCCCGTCGTGGCGGTCTTCAGTCCCGCGCGACTTGCTCCGCGACTTGCCCCGCGACTTGACCTTGGCCTTAGCCTTGGCCTTGGCTTTGGCCTTGGCCTTGGTCTTGCCCCGCGACTTGGCTTTGCCCTTGCGCGGCGTCGACCGGGTCGAGCTCTGCGACGGCGGGCGAGCTGGTGAGCTCGCGGCTCCTGCCTGCGGTGCTCCTGAGCCAGGCTCCTGCGACAGCGCAGGCAGCACGTTGGCCGGCTGGATGCCGAGCGAGAGGATCTGCAGGTGGTCGAGCTGCGAGATTGAGCGCAGGACGTCGGACCACGACTCCATCAGGTAGTTGCCCTGAGTGTTGGCAATGTGGATGAGCATGCGGATGGCATCGACGTTCTTGGACGACATGGCCTTGGAGGCGTCAAGGTAGGTAAACTTGGCCAGTGAGGTGACAAACGCGTTGCGTTCGGTTGAGAGGTAGAAGAGCGAGGCAATGCGGATGGCGAGCTCAAAGCCGCGGAGCGCATGGGCCACAACCTGGGCCACGGTAGTCGTCTCGAGAAGAACTGAGAGGACCGCCAGCAGGGCGTGCCATGTGTTCTGGAACATGAGACGGACATGGTCGATGTGGTTCGCCGTGTGGAACGGGGTAGGCGGTCCAGCCTTGGAAAAGAGCGTTTGCGACTTGCGGATCATAAACTCGGTCTCGCGCTGGAAGCGGGCGTGGCGCTCCTTGGCCGACGACGACTTGCGCGACGCGTCGGCGGCAATCTGCTCGTCCTGGAGCTTGATCTCGTTGTGCAGGATGTCGTTGTAGATGTCCTCGAGCATCTTGCGCGGGAGCGACTCGCCGTCGTCGATGCCGCGGTTGTTAGAGACAAACTCGTCGAGCGTCATCTTGGTCTTGATCTGCTCCGAGTGCAGGTCGGTGTTGAGCATGATGGTAGCAAAGGCGAGGACGTAGACGGTGTCTGCGTTGGCAAACTCACCTTCGTTTGTCACCGTGAACCGCTCCGCGAACTTGATCATCATCCGGTCAATCTTCTGAGCCTCGCCCGGCAGGCGGAAGCCCGAGAGGAACTGCCGGAGCGCGTCGACAAAGGTCTTGCCCTCAAACGAGAGGCTGTCGACCCAGGCGTGCATGACGGCCACGTTGAACTCGTCGGCCTCGCCGAGGTATGCCCCGATCTGGTCAAGCCGGAAGCCCGGCGTCGACTTGAGGAGCGCGGCCACGGCCTCGGGGCTCTTCTCGACTGCGCCGGCGTCGATGAGGTAGGCGATGCCCTTTTTCGGCTTGAGATTAAACTTGGCGATGCCGGCCTCGAGCACCTGCTTGGCCTGCTTGGCCTGCTCAAACATGGCCGGCGAAGCCGGTGTCGTCTCCGAAGCGGCAGCACCGCTGGCTGGACAAGGCGTACCAGGCGCAAACGCCGGGCCGGGCCGGGCGGGCGCACTACTGGCCGACTCGTCGTCGGGCTCCGACTCGTCGCCGCCGGTCTCGGAGCCGGCAGCAGCCGCGAGGCCGGCGCGGCCGTCGTCGACCTCGTCGGTCCAGGCCACCATCGAGTCGAGGATGGAGACAAGACACTCGAGCGCCAGCAGCTCCATGGCGGCCTTTTGCTGGTCGCTCACCGAGGAGAGGGCACCAGACGAGAGATGGCCCTGTGCAATGCGCGAGAGGTCGTCAACAATGGCCTGGAAGATGTTCTTGCCGTTGATGTCGCAGTCATAATTGAGAAAGAGGTCAACAAGCGTCTGCGGCTGGGTACAGAGGCTCGACAAGCTCTTGAGCACCATCCACTGCTGCTCGAGCGAGGTGTTCGGTGATTCGAGGACACGGAGGAAGAGGTTGGTGAAGAAGACCCCGATCTCGACCTTGAGCACGTCCTTAAAGTGTGTGAGGAGGACAATAAAGAGCGAGAGCGAGAGGCCAAACACGGCCGGCACCGGCGAGACGCCATTCTTGAGCAGCGTCGCTCCGCACAGGTACTGCCGCACAGCGCTCACAAACTTGTCCTTGGTCCGGAAGACAGGACCCCACTTGTGGACAATATACAGCAGCAGCTCGAGCGAGAGAATCTTGGACCGCATGGCAATCGAGTCGGCACCCGAGCCCGAGCCGGAGCCGCTGTCGACGCCGTCTTTGACCGACAGCTTGCAGAGGGCGCGAAAGACAAGAAAGGCGTCCTTTTGCACCACCGACGAGATCCGGACTCCGGCGGCAGCCTCGGCGAGGGTCTCAGGCGCCCGGGTAAAAGGCGGGAGGATGGTGGTCTGCGCGTTTCCTGGCGGCGCGGCCGAGCCGCCAGACTCGAGCGACGAGGCCGACGACGACCGCGGACGGACCGGGGCCGGCCGCGCAGGCGCCAGCGCCGCGGCCTCCACCGCCGCCACATGGGTATCGCGGCACGCCACCGAGCACAGCGGCTGAGTGGTCTGCTGCGAAAAGTGGTTGGCCGGCGCGCCGCACACGGTGCAGTAGCCGTACTTGCCGGGCGGGGCAATAGGGGTGACAGCGGCGGCGTTGCGCGCCGCCGGCGACACGCCATCGGCGTCCGAGACGACGCTCGACCGCCGCGACGACGGGGCGCCGGCGTCGCTCTCGGACACGTCGCCGCTTGCTCCGCCCCCGCCGTCGAGGCGGGCAAAGACCTTGGAAGTCATCTGGCGCAGCGCGGCACGCGCGGTCGTCTGGTTCATCTTGTTCCGCGAGACAAGGTAGATGTTGTACACGGTGCGAATGCCCTTGAGCAGCGACGGGCCGTGGGCCTCAAACGTCGACGACTGCACCGCAGTCAGGACAGCCTTGATGATCTGAAGCTCGGCCTTTTCATCTGCATACTCGTAGCAGTCACAGAGAGTATCCATGACGACGTCGGCGAGCATGCGCGGTGCAGCGGCGTCGCCGGTGCCCAACGGCGTCGTGCCCTTGAGCCACGAGTAGGCAATGAGCTTCTGAATGCAGTCGAGGGCGGTGACCATCAGCCGCGCGTTGCCAGACTCGCAGGCGAGCTTGAACGGAAGAAAGTGGAGCTCGCCAAGGGCAGGCTCCCAGTCATCAGGGTCGGCGGCGTCAAAGCCGGGCACGACGCCGGTTAGAAAGGCAACGATGCCGTCGCGCTCGATCCGTGCCTCCTGCTCCTCAATCGACTCGAGCGCGTCGCGACACGCTTCCTTCACCTTGGCCGCCCGCTTCGCTTCCTTGCCGAGCACGCTGAACGACCGCGAGAGGAAGAGCAGTTGGTTGGAGATTCGCTCGCGGGCCGCGAGCTGGGACGAGACTGACGGCAGCTGTGCGCCGCCGCCTTCTGAAGCAGATTGACCTTGGTTGTCAGGTTCAGCATTTTCGGCTACGCCCGCGTCGTGGCCGTTACGCTCAGTTGCGCTGGTGTGCGCCTCTGTATCGCCTCCAGACCCAGACTCCACCTTGGAGTCGGCGGCTGGCGGCGAACGAGGGCGAGCCACGTTGCCCGCGCCGGTCTCGGGCTCGCACGGCTCGGACGCAGACCCAGACATTCACTGCTTGTTACCCCCAACAGCCTACGGCACTCCGTCAGCGTCCAAATGCTCATGGTAAGTGCCTTCATTACTTCACGCCCTCCTTCCCTCCCTCTCCCACCCACCCGCCAGCGTGGTAGGGACGTGGCTCGAAATTTGCTCGAGCCACCCTTCCACCCCTCCGGGTACCCTGGCTCGCCCCAAGGCCTGCAGCCGCAGCCACGGCCGGGTCCACCCACTTCAGAACCCCGTCCCCCCTCCAGGCTTCCCCATGGAAGTGTGCCCCACCACCTCCCTCCCCCACCTCTCCTCTGGTGGTTTTGTTGCCAGGCACACATCCCCCATACTTACAGTCCCTGGGTCACACGCAGTCTCTTGACGAGTGGTGGCCGGCGATGGTCGATGGCTGGCGATGGTCGACGTCGGTTTGGCGGCAAGCGGACGGCGAGTCGCCCGAGAGTGTGCGAGCCTGATCACCGCCTCGCCCCGCGCGACTGCCGCAACACCGCACGCCAGTCGCAACACGGACATGGCCGGAGACGCGGACAAGGCTGCCAAGCTGGAAGCCTTCCTCGCATCCAATGTGGAAGAGGGGGGGCGGACGGTACGTGGCGGTGAGGGAAGGGAAGAGGAAAGGTGGGGGGGGAGGGAGGGCTGACATGGCGCTGCGTAGAATCGTCGCTCTATCCACAGCACCCGGCGGTCGACTCACAGACATGGCACGCGGTGGCTTTGGGTTGCCCACCGGTACAGGTGTCGGCCAAGGGCCTGGCTCATGAGATGGGAGTGCCGTTGGCGGATGCACGGGCTGCGCTGGAGGGGTATGCCACCGGGAAGGCTCGCGACAAGCTGGCGGTGACCTGGTGCGTGTGCGGGACGACGGGAGACGGAAAGCACACTGTGGCGCTGGCGACGGGGTCGCGGGCGGAGGCGGTGGCGGCAAGCCTGGCCAAGGTCACCTCGCGGACGGTGTACGCGGTGGCGCTGGTGGCCGATGCGCCCGACGGAGTGCCGGTCGACGCGCTCGCGTCGGCGAACACTGCGGCGCACAAGGCACTCTATCGCAGCTTTGATGAGCCTGGCAACGTGCTCCGCGAGTCGCGCATGGGTGGCATTGTAGCCAAGGGCGTGGTTGTCCGCTCTGCCAAGGCGCGAGAGGCTCGCATTGATGCTCCGGCGTTCGAGGCCGAGCCGAGGCGTACAGCATCGGTCAAAAAGGTCAAGGAGGTGAGCAAGAAGTCGCTGGCGTCGTTCTTTGGGGCAGCCGGATCGGAGCCCAAGGCGAGCAAGGGCAAGGCGAGCAAGGGCAAGGCGAGCAAGGGCAAGGTGAGCAAGGGCAAGGCGAGCAAGGGCAAGGCTAAGCCCGATGCCGAGACCAAGCCCGAGCCTGCAAGTGGATCCAAGCGCCGGCGCCTCATCGAGTCCGAGTCGGACTCGGATTCCGAGTCTGAGCGGGAGGCGGAGGCTGGCGAGCCCGTGGCTGCCAAGACTGGACACAAGGAGACAACACCGCGCAAGCTCGCCAAGAATTTGGCTGGCCGCAAGGCGTCGCCGGCCAACTCGCCGATCAAGACGGCATCGCCGGTGAAGCGTGCCAAGTCGAAGAAGGCAGCAGCCGCCGCCGCTGCCACCGCTACCGCCGCCGAGCCTGTGGCCATGGACGTGGTGGAGACAAAGATGGAGACGGAGACGGAGACCAAGGCCGAGGCCAAGGCCAAGGCCAAGGCCAAAACGTCGGTCAAAGTCGCGATTAGTGCGGTGGAAGGCGAGGCCAGCGGCAAGGCCGACGACAAGCCGGCCGGGAAGGCCAAGACCAAGAAGAGCGGCAAGGTGTCGATCAACCCCAACATGGATTTGGCGCAGATGTACTTTGCCGCCAAGACTGAGACGTCGACTGGCGATGATGGCGGCAAGACTCAGGGTCTCGAGCCGAGCAAGGCCAGCAAGCCGAACACGCGGCGGGTCCGCAAGACGCGGATGGTCTCCAAGACCTTTACTACCGAAGAGGGCTATCTGCTCACCGAAGACGTGGAGGAAGAGTACTGGGAGGAGGAGGAGATCCCAGCGAGCGAGGCTGCGCCAGGGCCGGCGGCGGCGGTGTTTGGTGGCAAGAGCAAGGCGACGGGCAACAAGGGCAAGGCGAGGAGCGGCAAGCAGGCATCGCTGACATCGTTCTTTGGCGCTAGCTAGTGGGTGGGGCGGGGAATGAAGAGCGGGTTGCGGGGCCAATGAGAGAGTCATTTACGATGGATGAGTGAGGCACTGCCGCGGCCGGCGACAGGAATGCGCTCAGGAGGCAAGACCAGCATGGCGCTTGAGCGGCGGCTCGTCGAGAACGTCGTCGGCCGGTGGAAGCTGGCCGCCCGAGGCGAGGCCGGGCACCTGGGGAGGAGCGGTAGCACCGGAAGCAGCGGCGACGGGGTTCTCGCCAAGAGAACCGTTCTTGGCCGTGTCGTCTACAGTCCGCTTGACACCGCGCTCAGCGTCGGTGGGAGCAGGGGTCGGCTCGGTCGGCTGCGCCTCCTGGCCCTGAGTCTGGCCCTGAGTCCGGCCCTGGGCCTGGGCCTGGGCCGCCTGGCCCTGTGACGCGGCTACACTCTGGTTGTGCATGCCGGGCATGCCGGGCATGCCGGGCATCATGCCGGTAAAGCCCGGCATTCCGCCCATACCGGGCATACCAGGCATCATGCCGTTGTTGCCCATGGCACCCATGTTAGGCATACCGGGCATACCGGGCATGGCGCTCATTCCGCCCATACCATACGGCGACATCCACGGCGGCATCATAAAGTTGGGCGTGGCCTGGCCCTGGGCCTGGCCCTGCTGACCCTTGGCTTGGCTGGCCTGGCCCTGACCCTCGCCGGCACCATCCTTGGTCGGCTGCTGGGTCGAGGGCTCAGCGGGCGGCTGAGCCTCGGAGGTGGCCTGGCTGCCTTGAGCGGCAAGCTGGGCAGGGGCGGCGGGCTGGGCGGGAGTGGGCTGTGTGGCCTGATGCTGGGTCGGATCAGCGCCTGGCATGCCGGGCATGCCAAACGAGGGCATCATGCCCGGAGCGCTGCCGTTCATGCCTGGCATGAACATGGGCATGCCAAACGGCATGCCGTACGGGCTCATGCCGCCCATGCCCATCATGCCACCCATGCCCTGCATGGCCGAGTTCGAATCGTCGCCGGGAGCGCCCTGCTGCTGTTGCTGCTGCATCTGGGCCTGCATCTGGGCCATCTGGGCGGCGGCGAGGGCCATCTGGGCAGCTGCCATGTAGTCGTAGTCAAAGTTTCCGCCGACCATGCCGCCGAGCTCAGGCCGGCCACCGTATGACTGCTGCTCTGTGGCCTGCATGGGAGCGTGCGAGACGATCATGGCCTCTGCGGCAGTCTCGGGCTTCCACACGCCCTTCTGGAGGAGAAGGACGCAGCGGGGGCAGTTAGCGCCGTGGGTGAGGCGGTGGTCCTTGTGCGGGCGGAGGGCGCGCTCGTGCTGCGAGACCGAGTACTTGCGGGCGGCCGGGGTGGCGGCCATGGAGACCCAGTTGCAGCCGACATGGCCGCACTCGTGGTCTGAGCGGGCGGAAAAGTCGCCGCGCTTGTTCTCTTCGGGGTTTGAGCTCCACACCCCCTCGCCGATGAGCTCGATGCAGCGCGGGCAGACGAGCGAATGGTTTGCAAAGTGCTCCTGATGGATCTGAAAGGTCTGCTCGTGCTTGAGGACCTCCATCTTGCGCGAGCGCGCGGCGACGGCAAACGAGGTGAACTCGCAGCCCGAATGGGCGCAGTGCTGGCCAGGCGGCATGCGGTGCGAGGCGAGCGAGGTGAGCGGGAGCTTGGGCGGCGGGAGCTCGCCGTCTGGGTGCTCCTCATAGCAATGGCGGACAAGAGAGGCAATAATGGAGGCGAGCTCAGCAGCGGCAAACTCGGGGGTGGAGGCCTCGCGTGGGAGTGCAACTTGGACGTTGAGGCAGCCGTACGGGCAGATAAAGCGCAGCGAGGAGGTCGGCGCCGAGACGGCGAGTAGAGACTCGAGGTCACTTGCGGAGCGTACAGAGCCGAGGTGCGACGAGACGGCAGCCACGAGCGACTTGACGCTCTCCTCGGACGGGGCATCCACGTCAGGCGCAATGCATGCTTGTAGTGTCACATGTAGCCACTCTTGGAGGGTCGGGTCCGCCTCCTCCTGCGTTGCAGCCTTGGGGTTGGTAGCCATAACGTCAACGTCACACGGCCAAAAAATGTGAGGTGGTAGTGTAAAAAAACGTTGCTGAGAGGGCGACCTCGCGGGGAAACGTTCGTCAACGGTTCCCCATTTTTTTGCTACGCGAGCCCATTGGCACGCTCAACCTCCCACGCCGGGCCAGCCCAGGTCGGCACACATGCGCAACCGGGCGGGGAACATGCTATCGGCATGCTCGCTATCAACTGCTTCCACAGGCCCATTCCCTAAATCCGACACGGGCTGTCTAGCCTGCCCAACTCCCCACACCTATCCTCCACGTGCGGGCGTTTCGACGCGCGTCGCCGTTCGCACTGCTCACGCGTGCCTCTCGCCACGTCGAATTCCGCTTCGGTCGCGCTCCGCCTCCTTAACTCAAAATTTTCTGCTCCGCACCAGCCACTTTCGCTCCGGAACTGGTCACGTCCCGGTAGATGACTGGTTGGCTGGATGAAGGCAGGGATGGCTGTGACAGCTTACGGAGGGGAGGTATTGGCGCCAAATTCACCTCTCGCCTGCGGCTGCCGCTCCTGCCCGCCCATGGCGTTCTCGCTCATCGAGACCAAGCGCGTTGCCGGCGGCCTGGTCTCGGCCGCATGGTGCCCTACCATGGACGTCCTCGCGGTGGCGTCAGAGGACGGCGAGCTCTGGCTCCACAGGCTCTCGTGGCTGAGATTGCTGAGCATGGCGCACTCGGCGCCGGTCACTGTCCTCGGGTGGGCGCCGAGTGGGACGCAGCTGGCGGTGGCCGGCTCGGACGGTTCGCTCTTGGTGCTCGACATTGAGCGCGGGCCTGCGCCTCTGGTGGCGCTCGCTGCGCCGGGCGCACCCGCCGTCGCTGTCGTCGAGTGGCGGGCGTGGCCGGGAACAAGCGCGGCGCCGCTGGTGGCGCGCTCGCGGCTCGACAAGCTCCTCCCGCGGCCGCTTGCGCTCTCGGAGGAGCTGGAGATGCTACTTGGGGCCGGTGCGAGCGACTACGTGCCTCCGCTCGGCTTCCCCACGCCGCTTGCGCCGCCGATCCCCGAGACGCGCCCGCTCGACGTGCTCGTTACGGGCGGGACAGACGGTTCGCTCGTGCTCCAGGCCCACGCGGCGCTCGTCCTTGCTCGGCTCGAGTTTTCGGGCAGCGTCGTTGCAGCGAGCCTAGGCGAGACACCGTCGGCCGGTGTGGTGGTTACGCTGTCGGACGACGGCAGCTTTGGACTCACCAGCTTTTCTCTGGTGGCGCTCACGAGCGTGTCGCTCCCGCTCATCTCGCAGGTGGCCAAGACGCAGTTTGCGCTCCGGGCGATGCTCGCAGCGCTCCACAAGTCGCTCAGCCTCGCACAAGCAGCGTGGGCCGAGGGCATCTCGGCTTACGCTGGCAAGATGAACGAGTTTGAGGAGTTGCTCAAGGCATACGCGTCCAAGTCGACGATCGAGGACGAGTTTCTCGGCATGCTCGCCACCGGCATGGCCTCGCCAGCCATGCTGCAGTTTGTGACGCGGACGCTTGGCGATTCGACAATTGCCAAGCTTTCCAAGACACTGGTGACCGCGTGCTCACGGGTGGCTACGGTCACGCTCCACTCACTCCTGCCGGGCATCCAGCGGCTGCTGCTGCTTCTCGCGGAGCTCTCCGGCGCACTCGAAGCATCGGGCGGCCTGCCGGGCCTTGATGGTGGGCACCTCACGGCCATGACTCACGCGGCCGGCACGTTTAAGCTCAAGCTGGAGGAGCTGCTGCTGGCGGTGGAGGACATGGGCGCCAACTTTCACGCTTTCCTCCACTGGCTCTCGATCGTGTGCTGCAAGCTCTCGGACCAGCCGCTCTCACCAGAGCTTGCGGCGCACCCGCCGGACATCCAGCTCGTGGCCTCGTTCCTCGCGCGCGACATGATGCACCACCGGGTGTCTCTCCTCCTCGGCGAAGCGGCCATGCCTGTTCCCGAGTTTCCAGCGACGACGCTGACCGAGACGCAGCTGCCGTTTGTCCGGCTCTGTCCAGCCAATGCCTCGCTCCCGCTTGGCCTCGCGCTGGAGGAGCTCATGGCGTTTGACCTGGCTGCCGGCCTCGCGCCGGCGGTAGCCGACTCGGCTCGGCTCACGCCGCCCGTCGTCCTCGCCGCTGACGGCGAGGAGTCGTACAGCTTTGTCTCGACCTTTAATCACGAGTCAGGGCGGCATCTTCTCGTTGCCTGGGCACCGACCACATCGCCCGACCTTGTCGCCCTCAGCTTTGCACCAGGACTTGGCTCGGCCGGCTACACCGTGGTCTCGCTGCCCGGCGTGCCGGTTGCTGTCGAGGTGTACAACTCGTCGTCGCTCGGTGTGCTCATACAGATCGACGATGATGATGGCCGCGAGCTTGCGCTCATCGACTTTGACGAGTGCGAGTGGTCGCCGCTCGCACTCGGGGCTGACCGACGCGACGACGACGACGACGAGCTGGTGGTCGACGCCGGTGTGCCGCTCATTCCCTACCTGGCTGCTCTCGCAGCCGGCAGCGAGCTGGCGGAGGAGACCCGGCGGCGGAGGTTAGCTGATGCGACAGGATACCTCCTGGCGGTCTCGGGTACTCGCGGCGTTGGCGCGGTTGTGGGCTGCTCCGGAGAGGTCGCCCTCCTTGATATGGAGGACGACGAGGATGAGGAGGACGAGGAGGACGAGGAGGATGGCGGCGGCAGCGAAGAGTAAAGTAGAGTCGCGCGCTATGCTTTAGCCTTGGGGATGGTGAGGACAGGAATGTCGAGATGGGCGCAAAAGCCCGAAATGACGTGGAGGACAAAGTGGAGGTAGGCAAAGGCGGCGACGACGAGGGCAGCCTGGGCGGCGCCACGGTCGGCGACCCAGTGGAGCGCGGCCGAGTTGGCTGCGAGCGCAATCGGGATGAGAAGGACCGGTGAGCCGTAGACCGGAAAGTGAAGCTTGAGCAGGTGCGCGGTGATGACCCGCCCGACGAGTTCACCAAAGACGAGGGTCATGACGGTGTAGTGAACCAGCGGCTGGACAATGTCCGGCGCGTCCGAGACGTCGGAGACCTCTGCGCTCACGACCCACACGCCACAGCTCAGCACGTAGACGGCAAAGGGAATGAGCTGTGCGAGGGCGAGGCCGGAGCCTTTCTTGGTCTTCCTCACCGCCGAGACGACCGACGCGGCGACGGTAAAGATAACTGGGGCGGAGAAGCACAGAACGCCAACTTCGTTGAGGGCCCAGCCGCCAGCGCCGATGGCGTCGAGGGCGGCGAGAGCGGGGCCAGGCAGGACGTCGCGGGCCGGTAAGAGCCAAAAGTCCGAGCCAAAGTAGCCCGAGGCGAGGGCAACGCCAACGACGCCGATAATGCCCTCGGTCGGACCATTGATAACGCCGAGGTAGAGGGTGCCGGTGTGGTACTCTTCCCACGACGCAAAGTAAAAGGGAACGACGCCCATGAGGATGACACCAAAGGTGCCGAGGCCGTAGCCGAGGCGGAGCACGGCGGCGGTGACAACTGCGGTGATGACCACGTTCACCGCGTCGCAGCCGTGATCAAACAGCTCGCCCAGCGGCGACGAGGTGCCAGTCGCACGCGCCTGCTTGCCGTCGACGTTGTCCATGGTCTGGTAGAAGAACAGGCCGAGGCCAAAGAGGTAGCAGTACCATGGTGGCGGCGAGTCTGTAAAGTGCGGGACGGTGGCAAAGACGAGGCAGTACGAGAGCAGCGGGAAGAGAAAGCCGATGAGAGTGATCATGTTAGGTCTGTGTGAAGATGAGGAGTGGCCGCCCAGCCTGTGATGAGTCACCCGCAGTTGCAAGCTGCACACGCCGTGGTGAGACCTGCCCCGCCCCTCCACGGGGCACGCAGCAGTGTACTATGCTACTGTGTACCACCTCTCTACATGGCTGTCCGCCTCTGACTCTCTGCTGCCTGCGCCTACCCGCCCCATCCCGCTCCCCGCTGCTGCCCCCCCCCCGACCCGGCCAATGCAGCGTACGCCAGCCAGGGCGGCATGAACGAGGCCACCCAGGTCCAGAACGGATTGAGGATCCAGAGGGAGAGGTACGAGTCATCGACGGCAGAATACTTGTATTGTCCGAGGGCAGCAAGGTCGTGCACCCTGTACACGCTCAGCCACGTGCCCGTCCCGACTGCACGCATGTCCTCCGCTCACCCCGCGAGTAGTGGAGTGCTCGCTCGCTTCTCCCGCACGCGCTGTGGCCTGGGACTGTGGCCCATCGGATGGGACGGTGGTAGGAAGAGTCTGCTCATCGCTGGCTCTTCTCCCAGGCTAGCGCCTGCGAGGTAATGGGGATGAGAATGGTGGCCTTGGCGAGGAGGCGGGCATCGGTGGACGCTCCGTTGAGCTTGCGCAGCTCGGATGGCGTCGATCCAAACTTGGCGGCAATGTCGCGGACGCCCTCGCCGTTGGCAATGGGGTAGGGCATCGAGTGGCGGGCAGGGAGGCTGACGACGTGTCCGGTCGATGCGCCGGCGGCGGCCGCCATCGCGTCGAGCATGG